ATGCAGAGTAACCGGGGGGGGGGCACTATTTCCCAAAGTCCCAACCCCTCGGCCTCCCGTTCCCATTGGACGCCTCGCAACTGTTGATGTTCCCAGAAGTGCCAGGGGCATTGGCTACTGGAGCGCTGACTTTTCATTGGCCAGCCCCGTGGAGGCCGCCCCACGTGGGAGCGGAGTTCCTGGCACACACGCAAACCCAACCCAGTCGCCAAAGCAGGAAGGAAAGTCCGGGCTGGAGTCCCCGGGGCCCGGAGCGGGAGCAGCAGCCGGAGGTACCGGGCTCACTTCGCTAAAGCTGGGGCAGGAGGATGGAGTTGCAGCCAGGCCCAGGACAAGGAAGTCGGGACGTCTGTCTGCTCCCTGGTGGCCTTGGCTGTCATGGGCACTGCTGGAAAGATTGCTATAGGGGTCCCCCCCACACAGCCAGCACCAGATGCAGCTCCGCGGGCTGGTGGCAGTAGTAGGCTGTTCCCTCTAGGAACAAGGGCATGGAAGACATGTGGATGCACATAGTGGCGGGGGGGACATTCAGGCTTTCCTTGCATTGCCGGGCTTCCGTCTGGCTTTGAGCGTGCCAACCTCGCGGCGCTTTGTGCCTCGGTTTCTCCATCCCCAAAGGAGGCTCTTTTCCCTAGCTCACTGTGAGCGAGAGAAACCCTCGGAGACCCGCCTTGGGAAATGGTGAGGGAAGGACACCGGCTCGTGAATTCCACCTTGAGATCATTATAAACGATAAGAACATAAGAACGGCCGTACTGGGTCAGACCAAAGATCCATCTAGCCCAGTAGCCTGTCTGCCAACAGTGGCCAGCACCAAGTGCCCCGGAGGGGGTGGACCGAAGACAATGATCAAGCGATTTGTCTCCTGCCATCCTTCTCCAGCCTCTGACAAACAGAGACCAGGGACGCCATTTCTATCCCCTGGCTAATAGCCTTTTACGGACCTAACCTCCATGAAATTATCTAGCTTCTCTTTAAACTCTGTTATAGTCCTGGCCTTCACAGCCTCCTCTGGCAAGGAGTTCCACAGGTTGTTGTGGGGATTGCTTAGGCCTCGGCTCTAGCTAGCTTTGTGAGCGCCGTAGTTGGTGCTACTTCGGCATTGCTCCGCCCCCCAGATGGGATGCACTTCATCGACCTCGTTGTCAGAGCCAGCTGCTGTTCCAGCTGAAGCCCCTAGGGGCCAAGCACCTCTGAAAAATCATCTCCCTCATCCACGGCCTAGCGCTGTAAAGCTGGGTAGGTCGTTGAAGGCTTGTGGCCCGAGTCTGTCATTTGGCTGTGGCAGGCAGAGCCTCTTCCATAAAACGCAACTGTTATAAAAGTTTTTAAAAAAATAGCTTCCACTCAGTGACGGGTAGGCTTGGTCCTCACCTTTCCAGGAAGTTAATTTTGCTTCCACAGCCATGTGTGGTGCCTTTTTAGGCAAGAAACTTGAGACACATTCTGGGCCTGGATTCATTACATTTGTACCAAGGGGGGAAGATTTCTGAACCGGAACACGATACCCCAGGGCCCCATCTTAGCAAC